TGTGTGTGTGTGTGTGTGTGTGTGTGTGTGTGTGTTTAAAAAAAATTGAATAGGCACCCCTCTTCCAAACTCTTCCATGAGAAATAAGTATGCATAGTAACCAAATAATGTTGGTCAGCAGTTGAAAAACAAATGTTTTAGAAGGGCAGGGAATAAAAGGGAATGAAATACAGGACATGACTGACTGACTGGAATACTGAACTGGAGTATTCTGGTTAAAAGATGAGGATCCACTGTGACATTTTGTTCCATGTTTGTTAACTCTACAGGTGAAAGTCCAGTGATAAATATGGGTGACTCTCGGTTGGACTAATGTTCAACATGTGTATTGGGTCAGCAGTGTTGGCATCCATTGTGGCTAATTCACTAGAATTTCATAAACCTTCCACATAATAAGCTTAATAAATTATTACTATTATTAGCCACTCTGGTAGAAAATCAACTGTATGATAGAAGGGGTGGCCTTGTGGTATTTCTTCTTCAATCAATTTCATTTCTGTCCCAACTGAATATGTCAACTGCGGGTACATGTCCAGGAGCTAAACAGTATGGCATAGATCTTTTCATCTTCGGCATAAGGGAACTTGAGGCTTGAAAACCCATTGCAATTTGTTAATAGGGAAAGCTGATGTGGGAGAATACAGCAGAAATACTAGTGCAATTTTCATCTACCTACTGCAGTGTTGTGGCAGAAGAACAGCTCATCAGTGCTCCATCCTCTTGATTGTTTTAGGTCCCTGTTTGGACGGGAACAAAATGGTTCACCTTTGCGGGGGTTTCAAGGATTGGAGACGTCACTGGTTTAAATTTAATATTGCTTATAAAGAGGAAAGTATCTTGTTTTCAGATTTACTTTCAGGCAGTCTTTTGCCGATTTTGTACCACCAAAGGGTGAGAGGAACTGAAAGTGAAACCTGGTAGTTATAAAGTAAGGTTTTGGCAATAATGATGTAGTTCAGCCTTTCCTGCCCTTTCGGATATGTTATGATTTATCCATCCATCCATCCATCATATTTATATGGCTGCCCATAGAAAAGTGACTTGGGGTGGTGTACAATAAAACCTATAAAACAGTAATAGAAAAAACAATTAACTCCCCAAATTCTCAGACTGTGGTTCTCCCCATCTGCATGGTATTTTGGAGACCCACTGCCCCCCACTGCCCCAGAGACTTGGCAATTCTAAAGGGAGGAGAGATGCTGGTTATATATGCTTTCGTCTACTTTTTGCAATAACTGGGGCCTTTTTGAAGTGCAATAAACACTGAGGTGTATTCAGTAATATCTGAGTCAGTATTTCTTTCCAATAATGCCACTTTATGAAGTTTAAATTCAGCACTCTCTCCTAAGTTTGTGACCCTTATTTATTTCTAAACAATTCTCCTGTGGTAGGCTTCCTAAAAAGGTGGAGAATACAGAGCAGATTTTGCAGAGATTCTTTCAAACTCCCTGTGATATTTGTTTTCTCTAAGTAACTGAACTGTATTAGAAATTGTGTTACAGTACTCCCAAATATTTTCCGTAGATTTGTGCCATTAATAACATAAAATATTTGCCTTCTCTTCCCATTCAACACAGCCAGAAATCTTTTTAAGTATTTGTACAGCATTTGAAATAACACATCCAGTAATTGCTATATTCATATTCTTTTACCAAAGAGTTAATCAAAAATAAGTACTGGTATAAAAATAGTTTTCCTGAGACATGATAAAAAATAAAATAAGTGAAACGGTTGCCAA